TTTCTTAGCAGAAGATTTGTGGTCAGAGGAGAACCTTGGATTGAACCATTATAAGGGATTGCAACAAATGTTTTTTTCTCTCTCTCTCACAGATAGATGACAATTTGTTTCTTTCCTATGAAATTTTTACTGGCCCTCCACCCCAAATTAAAAAAAAATTCAATAAAGACTAAAGAACACACAGTAACACAAAATTCAACCTACCAAACTTTTTCAAGATTTCTGATTGGATATTTGAAATGCTTTTTAACTCCTCACAGTTGCAAAGAGGTATAGAGTGGTATACTGTGATGTCAAAAATAATTTTCTGATTGGTTAAAATATTCTCGTTCTCTTGACATACAATTGAGATTTGACAGAATACAACTTCTAGTCTGGGAAATGTAACTATTTTTTCATGTTATTGGCACACCAGATAGAAAACAATAAGTACTTTTTGCTTTAGTTCCAAGAAAACACTATAAAAGAAATTAATCTTTCAAAGCATCTGGTTTTATGTGTTTCAACATAGTTTATTTTTGTCTGGTGTGTAAATAATAGAAATAGTACAATTGAGACTTGCTCTAGTAACTACAAAAGAATGGAAAGGGTTTTTAGTTGATTAATTAAGTATAAAACATCCATAAGGCTAACCAGTCCTTGGTGCTGATGGTATTTTGAAATTTGTTTCAGAAAATACCATTTTTTACTATTAACCCTGTGTGTTCTGTGTCAATTTGTTGAACTGACATTATATCTGTGAAGCTATACATAGTTATTTTACTATAATTCTGAATTTATTTCATGTATCTTCATGAAATATGGCAAATTTGGTAAACATTACAAGTCTGTTCTACACAAAAATTCATAATTTTTAATAAAATATTTTGATAAAATATTTATCTGAATTTCTGAAGCCTTTACTGAGTCATTCTGCTTGAAAAGTGATTTCGATGTTAATAATACAAATACTTCTTTTCATCTAGTAGTTTCATATTTCATTTGTATAACCTCTAGAACCTTCTATATGAATATCAAAAGTTTTTTTTTGATAAAACTATATTTTATATATTTTCTCTATCTTAACACTAACTATAATGAAATAAAATGAACATTTGTTTCCTCCTTTGAATGCATCATTTTACTAGTGTCAGTCTTATTTTCAAAGTTTCTATTGTTAACATTTTCACATCTGTTTTATTTTATTTTATGGTACTTTGAACCATTATCCACATACAAAAAAAAAATCACAGTAGTAGGTAATTAGCCAACTATCACAAGCAAAGCATGTGCCAGATATATGATTTGCACTCAAGGAGTGTAAAACTAAGCCTTTCTTGGTTTCATTTAGTTAGTTTTTTCAAATAAGAATTCATGTAAAATTCAAATATGAATTTTAGAACACCATCTATAGCAGACACTAGAATAGAATGTTCCAAAACTATTATAATTTAACTGGCTTTCTAACTGAGCTATAAATAGGTTACAAAAGTTCTATTAGCTGTTCTGAGCTAAACAATAATGATCACAGACAAAGATTCTAAAGCCAACTGTCTACAATTCTTGACATAAGAAAATAATCATAATAAGATTACTGTAGAAGAAAAAATGCTCTAGCTATTGGTTATGAAAATGTCTGTCATATAAGGACACATGGTTTAAATAACTTTGTAAGCTATGATAAGATGTGAAGAACTTTGTTGGGGAGTTTGATTAATATTTCAGCAAATTGAGAAGGTAGGAGGTTCGATTTTGGTCTTTTGGTATCTATAGTTTGTATCTTTAATTGGTCGAACAGTGAAACATACACAGGAAGAAAAGAAAATCTATAAGGGAGATTTCAGAATGCAAACATATCACATGACACAGAAGTGATGATTGAAAATCTACTTAAACATTTTCCTTTGAAATTAAAAAGTTTATACCTAGATAGCAGAAAAATTTTAATTATAAACTACATTGTAATGTTAAGTTTTTTTTATATAAAATTGTTTAACTAAATGCTTTGACTACCCATGAAACCTATTGCTTACTATTAAAAAGAAACCCTAAGTTATAGTATTGAGTTTAATCCATCATGAGACTATTCTTTTACATGACCAGTGAAATGGTTGCCTATGTTCTAATTTCGAGTTTTTTTCAAATTCACTATTCCCGAGCAGAGCTGAGCAGTTAGTGGAAATTGCTACTCAATTATTGTATGAGATCGTCAATCAGTTATTACATCATCAAAGCAAAAATTGTAATGCTAACAATGAGATTTCAATATTCATATTGGGCAGAGCATAGAAGGCCAATTATGTAGCTTTGTGCTTAACAACAAACAAACACTGTGACTTTTTTTGATTACTTGGATTGTTGAAAACAGTAATAATCAGAAGCTCTAATTTCAGTTAGTTTATTATTTTTGTGAGTCATAATGAGTCAATTTGCGAGTCAATTAAGATTGAATTAATCAAAAATAATAATGAAAATTCGTAGTGGCAATATTTCAATTACTTTATTATTTTTGTGACATTAATCAACTTAATCATAATTTTGATTAATAGATTATCGAATGTGACATAAATTGATGTAACCAGTGCTCATGGGTAATAAATAACATTGATTAATTGAGTTAATCATCCACATCTACCACCTAATGACACTTTTAAATATCCTCTAAAGTATTTTCCAGGTGACTCCCCTGTCATTCATGAGTTTTTCAAAGACATCTAATTTCCTTACAGTATGATCCCATAGTTCACTGAATTATAGTTATTGAGGACTTGTTGACCATGTTTATTAATTTTTTGGAGAATGTTTGAGCAAGACCTGTAAACTTTATCTTAGGGGATCTACATTTCTTTTATAAAATTTCCTGCCTGTTCCTCATTCTTTCACCTGGACACTGGTTCATCTTGACCTCTTCTGGCACTCGTGGAAGGGGGTCAACGTGGTCCGGGGTATTAATGTCACTTCTTTAGGGTTATCGAGCACACAGAGGACTAAAACAGATTTTGGATCTTTTTCTTTTAGTTTTTACTGTTCTATGTTTTGTAGTGATATTCATTAGTTTCATTTCTACCTGTAAGTAATTGTATTGATTAGTGAATATTGCTGATGCTTATTTTATGTTCCCATTCATCTGCTTTCTTGTTGGTAATTTCATTTTGTATGTAAAAAAAAAATACTCGCCCATTTTGGAGTTTTTCCTGTTGCTATAGTTTCTGTCTGTAGTATTTTCACCAAGGCTGTCCGAGCTCTGGGCATCCTGTCTTCACCACTTGGAAATTGTTGTAAATTTTTTCCTGGACAGTAGGTTGATTCTATCATTTATCCTGTTTTGTACCCAGGTGAACACATTATAAACTCTGGACTTTGTTGCAAGCTTAGGGTGAGTTGTGCAAAAATCCAGGCCCCTTTTTAAAATTTCTTAGTTGTTCTCAGGAATAATGTACATCATGGTGTCTGGTCTCCAGCAATTCTGGTGAATCATGTACATGTTATGAAATATGGACAGTTTGAAACCATTGCATGATTATCTTGATGCATTTGTACAGTAGTGCAGTTGTTATATACATCAACAAATGAGGGAGATCTTCAAACTATAATGTGAACATCACCTCACTTGAATAGAAGGATATATTTCTTCCATCACTTGTGTTTGCTCATTGTTTTCTTTGTTAATAATAATCGGGTGAGTTTATATTATCATGTGCTTCCATGTTTTTCTCAATTGTGATAACAGTATCTTCCTGTGTATGAATAGCACCTTGTACTCTCACACTGGCAGTTTTTACTTCTAAATGGTATAGTGCTATTGAAGCAGGCTTAACTTTGAGGATAGGGTTTGGCTCTAACACTCACTCTCAATAACGTGTGAGCACTATTTCCATTCCTTTTGTTGCTATTCATTGGGTGGTCTGTTCAGTTGGTTGCATTAAGTTTGTATGAACATATGATCGTGCACAGCTGTATAAATGCAAGTTAGACATCAGGGTACGAGGTATGTAATTCCACATGGAATGAAATTATTATAAAATTAAAAACTATAAATTACAGAGAAGGAGTGAACAAGTCAGGAGAGGAAGAGAATAGGTCTAATTCTTAGCGAGAACAAGAGATATAGCTCAAGATTATGAGAGAAATATCTCCCTGAACTGTATTTTATGTTTTCCCAAGCTGACAAAAACTTACCCTGAAAGAAAAGCATTTCAGTTTGATTATTCTGTTAGGTCAGGTGACATTATATTCTAATCAGCATGTAATGCAGGTTTTTTAACAAGTGTAATGTGTTTGCAATAGTGTCTATAGTTTTGTGAGTAATGCATTTAATAAAGTAATAAGTTATAGATCCACCATTTACTGTTAAAGTGGTTTTATAAACAGTTGTTAAAAACAAAAATTTTCTTAAAATTTTATAAATTGAAATGTAGAAATCATGTAAGTTAAGTGTTAAAACTATGAAGCTAAATAGTTTGACATTTTAATTTGCAACTTGGTAATTGAATCACATTTATTGGTATACCAGTAATAAGATGGATTAGCACAAGGTATTGACTTTACAAAAATTCCAGTGCACGTTGTGATGTATTTCTGTCAATAGAATGTGTATCTTAAGATATTTTAAAAATATCTAAAAATGATCAAATTGTTTTGAATAGTGTGAGAAAATATATGAAGTTATTGCTTTTAGTAAATTGTAAGATCATGGAGTAATTCTCTCAGTAGAGAACAAAAACAAGTTTAAGTGTTATAGTCATTTGCTTTTCTTCCATCTGAAAAAGTCTGAATAAAGAAATAACAGAAAAACTGGTGAATGAGATTTTAAATGTAGTGTTTTAGGATTTGATTAATATTATCCTCAAGCACAAGTTTGACATGATCATTTTGATAAGTTCACTCTGCTTATACTTTTATAAGTTTTTGATTTTCCTTGTGCCCTTCATTTTTCCAAGGGAAAATGTTGATTTTCTGCTTTATTGTTTTTATGTGGAATAGTTTTTAGTACAACTGATATATTTTTTGACTTATTGCAGGTGGACTATGGTGCCACAGCTGAAGAATTAGAACAACATTTTCATGGATGTGGATCTATTAATAGAGTCACTATTTTATGTGATAAATTCTCAGGACATCCAAAAGGGTTAGTTCTGTATATGTAGAAAAAATAAACTTGATGTTGAGTGATTTTATTAAGTATGTTAAATTCATGTCAGCTGGATATGGCCTACTGGTTAGGGGGGCTGTGCTGGGGATCAAATGATCTAAGTCTCAAGCCACAGTATGCCTGTGAGTATGTCCTGAACCTTCAACTGTGGGCATGTTATAATCTTGACACTATAAATTACAGAGAAGGAGGGAAGAAGTCAGGAGAGGAAGAGAACTGTTTGGTTAAGAGTAGCCTTGTAGCTACAAAGGGCTATACAAGAGTGAGTGTTATATGAGATATAGTTTAGTTTAGAACTGTTTTGTGAAATGTAGCTCAGTTTTCAGAAACTTTTATGTGTCATAACTTTCAAATTGTGGTTGCAAAAACCTTGCATTTCATAGTATACTACATTGTTTTATAACAGTAGAACTTATTAGTTGTCCTATTATTTTAGTGCACTCTTTGTATCAGATATATTTCCTTTTTATGTCTGTGTGAAAAAGTTTGTGTACACTTTATAAGTTTTGTTGTTTCTATGTCAGTATCTACTTGAACATTTTGTTGAAGATATTTTTACATACTTTCCAGGAAAGAGAGTAAGACGTATATGTGTGTATTTATATGCATATATTTTCTTTTGTTATAGCTTTGCTTATGTTGAATTTGCTGACAAGGATTCAGTACAAACAGCTATGGCCTTAGATGACTCTCTTTTCAGAGGAAGACAGATAAAGGTCTGTAACACAGCCTGATAGAGAGGTTGAGTACATTATATTAAAACAATTTTGGAGCCCTACCATGTTATCACATCTAGTCATACTTAATCTGACAACCATGCATCTTGAAAATAGCCCTGCAGCATAATTTCCATTCCAAAAAAAAAGGCTCCATTGTAAAGCTGTCATGTTTAAATAGCACTCCTCTTTCCTGCAGTTTTCTCTATTCCATCTAGTGTGTATAAGGAGGATGGTTCCCAGTAAAAGTTTTAACAGCCCAAATGCACAGAAATCCATAGGTGCTGTGATTTGACTGGTGTGTCTTCATATTGAATATCATGAATGCCCATTTCAATGCAACACTTGAACTGATATATTATGGAAGCAACTTGTGTTGGTTTTTGACATGTAGATCTTTCTTGATTAATTTGTGTACTGCTGTTAGGGAGAAATATAGACAGCTTTTGCCACTTACCTTTGTATTTTCACCTGCTACAAGACACTACATTATGTTTACCAAGGTCGGGGTATGGCTTGTTGCAGACTTAGTGGTAAGTCTGTAGGCATATAAAGCTAAAAACCAGTTTTGATATCTGTAGCGGGCTCAACCCAGATAGTCCATTGCGTGGCTTTGTGCTTAAAAACAAACAAATGAGCAAACTTTCTGGATAGTCCTAGGTGCACCAAAGTGATCCATATTCCTTTTGTTTTCCAATGTCATTAAGTAAAAGGGATATTCCTATCTTTTATATTTTAAATCTTCGATGTGGACACAACTCTATGTTAATATTTTGTGTCAGAAAGGGCTGTTACATGCTCTGTCAAAAAGTGATCATTTTATTACTGGCATCACACAAACTGTGAAATGCCAAAATGTAGTTTTGATACATTCCACCAGAACTATATCAGCTGTGGTTGTCATGTGACTTGCATATCAAAAATCATTTTAATATAATGTACTCAAACCTCTTTGTATAAAAAATAGGTTAGGTGTGTACTTTGTTCTCATTGTTTGAAAAAGGGGATTAATTTCCTTCATTTCACAAGATCTAGTTGCTAGCCATTGCATATTGTTTAAATAAACTACTAAAAACATTTACTGTTAGATATCTGTAGATGTGATCCTATTTTTTAACCATACATCACATTCTGCCTTAGCCTTTTTTTTTTTCCCTACCAACTGTTCTCAATCAGTGCATGTTTTTTATCAATTACAGAATTAGTTATTGGAAATTGAATAAAGTAAATCTGTATTGTCATGCAAATAATTAGCACATATGGTATAATGCAATTCTAAGAAATAATATTAATTACTTAGTTAGTCTGGTTAGTGAGTTTGTAGACTTGCATAAAAAATATTATTTACCTTCACAAGGTGAATTCAAAACATGATGAATCAGCAAGGTGAAATTTTATAAGAACATAATGTGTATAAGTGTTTGGTAAGCTGTATAAAAAAGCAATTAAAAATACTGACAACAAATTTAGGATGTGAACTTTTTAATTTTATTTCATTATCTAAAGTGATAACTAGTTAACTTTGTTTAATATTTTTCTGGACTATGTATGGTTTAGTGGTTAACATGGGGAATATCAGAGGGTCCATGGTTTGTGTCCCATTATCATAAAAACAAATCTCCACACTTTTGGACTATTATATGAGTGGTAGTTAAATACCACTACTTGATTAGAGTAGCCCACATAATTGTGATGGGTGCTTTAGCTTAGCTTACTTCCCTCTAGTTTTTTTTAGTTTAAAATCAATGAAGGCTAATGTAGATAGCCTTTATCTATCTTAAACAAAAACCGTAAATAATTCCTGAAACTAATCAGTTTACACAAATGAAAAATAAGGTCATAACTTATTCAGGTGATGGTGAAAAGAACGAACAGACCAGGTATCAGCACCACTAATCGAATTCCAAGAGGAAGATTCAGGAAACCTTCCGCTCTTTTTATTATGGTTATCGACCAATGAGGAGAACATACAGGTGAGTGTTTGGAATTGTAAGAAAGGTGGGAAAAGAATGATCAGTTTTACTAACATAACTCAATCAAATACGTATTATTCTATTAAGCAGCAGAAATAGGACCTTGAAACTTAGATGGCTGAAAGCTTAAAGTTGAGTCAAACTTTTACTTTTTAATATAAAGGTTTTAAATTTAATACCAATGAGAATTAGCCTTGCATTAAGAATAGTAACAGATCACTATTAACTCTGTGACTTTGTGGAATGCAAATTTTAAAGTTTTTATGTATTAAAGAAAATCCATTTAACTGTTTTTATATAGTCTGTGTGTAATATCACTTGAGGTTTGTTTGGCATATTCTTTGTTTGCTGTAAAGCAGTTAACATACGATTTGTAAATGCTTAATTGTGTTGTTACGTTAATACTATTATTCAAAATTTTAAATTTAGATTGTCTAATTTTCCTTAGTAGTGTTACTTTGGAAATTTGCCTTAATGCTGAAATATTTGTATGTGTTTTACAATTAAATATCTAATTATGAACATTACAAACTAGTGAGTTTTCACAAACTACACCAAATATTTCACAAATGTAGTCTGTTGAATAAAAGTAAATAAAATTCACCCTTTTGCTAAAAAGCTGCTCCATAGTCAAGTTAGGAACATAATTTAAACAGTGATGTTTACTGTGTCTGATATAAAGTTATGTCGCTGAACATAGGAATAGACGATCCTGGTACTACTCCCCGTACTGAGCTGACTTGTCGATCTGAAGTACTCCAGTGAAACTTGTGGTAATCTTATCTTTTTGTACACCATCACTTATTTTATGAAACGTACCAAAGTCTTGGCCTTAGATTATTTCACTGGTTACATTACTTACACGAAATATGAAGATATGAAATTATATTATTTTAATGTTTTATTATCACCTAATAACATCTAAATCTTCTTGTCTTCCGTTAAAACTTTTATTTCTTTTTTTTGACACATAGCTTCAAAGTGCTTACATATTTTGCAAGTAGTTTTCAATTAAGACTAGTTGATTCTAGTTTTTAAAAGTTAACTGTGCTACTTTTTTCATGAATGTGAAGTTGATTGTGGTAATTAATGTTTATTATTTCACTGATGAGTCTAAGGATTTCCCCAAGGCAGTCAGCATTGTGTATAGTAAGCTAACAGGTAAAATTTAAATTCTCTCTCTAATAAAACTTTTGTGTGTGATGTCTAATTCTGACTAATGTATTGTTAGATAATGATGAAACCAGTATTTTTCAATCTGTAATGAGACCATTTGATTGCAGTTTTCTTTTGTGAACTGTTTAGCTAACATATGCTCTGAAAGAAAATCAATACCTGTTATTCTTGTTTTTTCTAATACAAAACTGAATTCTGCTTAATTAGCTTTGTTAGGCCTTTTTTTTTTCTTTAGTAACTGGTAATTCAAAAGTTTTATAAAAATTGTTTGAGTTTTATTGAATCATAATGTATGCACCTATATTAAATCATGAACATACTGTTTCAGCTTGTTCTTACCAGAACATTTTTTTTTATTCAGCCCTTAACCCTTGTTTAATTAGATTTATGTACCTCATTATTAGAATAATTGGAATCTATCTTGACTGTGCAGATCATAGGCATCTTGTTGAGAAGAAAATTCATTATCCACAGTAACTTACCAACACCAATGTAGTATTAATTTATAAAACTCAGAAAAAAATGTGTATCAACTAGTATTTTCATATTTTTCTTTGAACCCCCCCCCCCCCTTGTTATACAGACCATAAATAAAGATGTCTAACCATTCAACATCATTATGATAGGTAATCTAATATCATAATTCTAACACTTAGGTACAAGAATTGGCATTCTGTATAGTTTTTACTGATGCATTATATATTAGTTAAATATACAAATGTATTAGTAGTCAACTGGCTCAAAAAAAGCATTTAAAGGTATTTTAAATATTTGAGAAAAGTTGGAAAAATTTTTTATTTAAAATGTATCTATTTCCATTGTAATCCCTTCTCTACCAGACTATTGCTGGTATTTGACTGAAATATTCTTCTGACTATAACCAAAGAGTATGAAAAAAAACAAAGTCCAAACCTTCTTTTTTTTTCATTAATTGGTTTTGTTTGGTTGAGTAAAACCAACTGCAAAATAAAGCACTGAAAATCATTATAAAGAACTAGACAGCTGTGAAGCCCAAATATTTGGAAAAAGTAGTCTATGATCTGCTAGTCACATTCTTCTTTGCTTTAGTTGTTTCTTCCAGGTTCATGTGCTACTGGTCATCATACATCAGTCGTCCTCTTTTTCATATAAAAATATTTAAAAAAATGTAAAAGAAAAAATATGTAATGAAAGGAAAAGAAAAAAAAATGTGTAATAAAAGGAAAAAAATAAAAAATGTAAAAGAAGTTTGTCAATTAAAGATAGCTGTAACAACTGTCTGCTTAGTTTTTTTTTATGAAAGACAAATTCTACATGCAGATAACTTTCACATACTTTCATTTTTAGTTTGCAGAAGGGATTTTTTTTAACATTGTTTAGATTCTACCTCCATTTTGGGGGGAGGGGTCTTGTGTTAAATCTAACAAACGTGAAAACTGTTTCATGATTTGGAGGCATTTTCAGAAAAAAAATAATTGCAAGAACTTAAACCTTTATAGATTGAACTCTTGTTTTCAAACTGTTTATCATTAATCAGCTTTAAGTAAATTACTTTAAAATTGATTGTTAAAGAACAATATAAATTAGGCAGATCGGTGAACCTTATCTTTGTAACAAACTATAGGAATGACTGATGTGGACTTCAAGGACAAATGCTGTGATCTGCACCAAAACCGGACTGAAAACTTTACATTATGGGAAGAGATAGAATAGATTTAAAAGTCTTTTAAATTTAACAAAGAACATTTATTACATGCATGAGTCTTTGTGATTATACTGTATGTTTAGACTTAAAATTGCACTCGGTTTATACTAAGCATGTGTTCATTATATTTAACTGATGAAACTATGAAATTATTCAGTAATCAATTTCTGGAATTAAGTCAGAGTTGAATTATTGCATGGTTATGACCATCAGAAGAAACTCGAAATAAATAACACCAACATTGCAATCATCATTAAAGTACTCGATGAAGTTCTTGTAACAAATCATAAAAAAACAACATATTATTGCTACAAGCTTTCTATCATCATGTGGCATCTTACCAACTGCCTGAATACACTTTATGCCAAACACTATTTACAATAGATTTTGAAAGACCAAGAAACTTGAGCACTTCTTCAGGAGTAAAAAAAGGTAGAGTTTAACAGTTTGAGTAATAAATATGAAAAAGAAGTACACATCGTGTAAGTTACAAACTATCACTGTTGAGAATTAATCTAATTTTTTGTGATTATTCAGCTTTAAGAGAATGTCCAGTAAGGCTTTCTTATGATGAAAAGACAAAGCTGATTACTTAGTGGATTATCTTGGCTTTCATTTATCCAGTATTAAAGACATGAGCCTTGAGCTTAATGAATTAAATTTAAGGGTTGGATAAAAATATTGTTTGGGTGAAAACAAAGGCAACATGTTTTATTTGATAATTAAAGATCTCATTGATTACTAGGACTTGAAACACAAAAAAATTTATTATGTGTTTTAAGATGGTGGTTCTTAATCTTCTGTGTGAGAACCTTTGAAAAGCATAAAAAAAAAACCACACCTAAAATTTGAAGGGCAGATTTGGCAATTTACTAACTATTCCATGAGCCTGCACTCAATGTTTGCATATTGTTGACTGACTCAAGTTATTTCTTTTGCATTTACCTAAGCAGACCACTGTTGACTTTTTAAGAAACAATGAACCGGTAGTTCAAAGGTTTGACTCGTTGGGTACTGTTGTTTTAAGATATTTTGTAATTTTCTTTTTACTAAAGCAAGTACCTTACTATTTGCTAGTTTGCGTATGTATCTCATTACATACTGAGAAGGATTGTTCAGTTAGCTTTTGTTATTAATTTTTTTGGTATATTCATGAAGAGTGTAAAAATAAGTATTATTAGCTAATTTGAAGTGATATAAGAATGATTCAGATAACAATAAGGGGAACATTCCACAAGTATTAGTCACAAAACTATACCATCTAGCAACCTTACTGAAGTTAATAAACAACTGTACAATGCCACCCCATTTTCTCTAGCATGCCACATAACTCAGTAAACTAAATATAATTGCAAAGGACAATCAAAAAATGTTTACGTGCCTTCATACCTCACATTAACAATATCTTCTTCAGCATTACACCTGATATTCTAAATAACTATCACAATGTACACACGCTTGCTAGAAGTCACTATTCAGGCATAGTGTCTGTACCCATATATTTAAACATATATTAGTGGCAATTTATAGAGGTGTTTGGGTGAACCACCCTAGCTATCAAATTCAGACATTTGGAAGACAAAAGATACAGAGGTAAAAATGGTATGTTTACAATCATTAATGGTCTGACTATTGAATTATGAGAAGCATCACAATTTCATCACATTAAACATAAAACTCTTTTGAGAAAAACACAACAGTATAAAATCATTCATATTTATTTCACTGCTTGCTTATAACAGTTGTTAGCTTTAAACAGTACATCATTAACAACATATGGCAGGACTTAAAATCACAATACATAAACCATGAATTAAAAACTTGTATACTGTTTTACACGAAAAAAATTCATTTGGCTTTGTAGTGCATTCTAGCACTTATCACACCATCAGTTAGTGAATCTATTTTATTTGAAGGGTGTTTTCCTTCTTTGGCAGTAAGGTATAAAAAAACCTTAACATTAGATATAACCAACACCAAGATAACTATCCTTTTACACTGAGCAATATAACTGCAAGATGTACATTTGATAAATATATAATATACATTTTTATTATAGTATCGCATACAAGTTCCAAAGTTTACCCCTTTCCCCACCAAAACATTGCTTTCATTTTATATCAACTCTCAGGTTTATCAATAGTTATTTCGTTTTAGTTTTAGAAGTTAAATTTTTTATTAGTCTATGGCAAAAAGATTACCCAATTCCACTAAAGAAGCAGTGATTCTTTTATTGGAAAATGTCTTTTTAAATCACAAATTTTCCATATACAGCTATAAACACACCTCACCATACCACATGGATTAACAAGCTTAGGCTGAAGGCCAACATCATCTCTTAAGATGAAAGAATGGAGATGAATTTTTCTTTAGAAGACATAATTACATATCACCCTTCTCATTGTTTCATTCAAATTCCTTTATTTAATTTTTCTAAGCATTTAACTGGATTGCCATATAAAAAAGAAAAGAAGGTGATTGTCATAAATAATTAATAGCTATCATTTGATGTAACCAACACTTGTGTGATGTGGTTTAGTAATATGTAGCACCAAAGTTAATTTTTGTGCTTCAAGTTCTAAACAATAAGATATATACATGGCATCCAAGTTCAGATGTATCTTTCCTTTCTAAATCGTAATGGATAATGTACATCAGAAAGCACCTTTCAGACTAAGCAGTCAATTTTTGTGGGTGTTTTAAGTTCATAAAATATGCAATAGTAATGTTTGGATTGTGAGTGAATGTATTATATCTAACAACTAAACAACACTCAAATTAGATGTTCCCATTCCTTTACGTAGCTTATGAAAAAAATAACAGTAATTACTATTATTACCCTTTAAATGTTTCAATCTTTTTACACTATGAAATTTAAAAGGTTCTCTTGCTGACAGACAAACACACAACCATCACACGTAATCAAAAAGTGCAATTAATATTCTTTACAATACACTATAAAAGTTAGAAATTATACAAAAATAACATATCTGAAAATAAACCATAACCCAAAAAATACATTAGTACAAGTAATTCGAATTAATCACAACTCTTAATTTTTCAAAGATCACAAATTAAAAAAATTTGAAACACATCCAAAGCTATTCAACAAATGGAAGAAAAATTTTTTAATAACCATTGCATAAATAATACTTTCAAGATCTAAAATATCTGTCAATGTCCTTGCATAAACCACTGCTGGTAATACAAAAAATAAACTATTCTGCATACTTACTGACTGATCTGTTAAGAAATAAATTTCCATACAATATAATGACTAAAATTTAATACAAAAATGTACATCAGTACATGCTAAACTGGAATGTGTTGTGACAGCCATTAGTGATTATTCTGAAGAAAAAATCTTGTTTTATTGTGCTGGCTTCAAAGGAAGCATTATTACGTAACACAGCCTTTTAAAAGTTAATATGCCATTATAGTAAGTAATGAATTGAGGGGGAAATTTTGATTTTTTTATATTTGGAAAGTATAGCTATATGGATATTTAGAATAGCTACCAAAAGCAACCAATTTTATCTAAGCTTGAAAATAGTTTGCAATGTGACTCTTCTTTCCTTGAAACCAAACAAGAAACACAATTAGACTAGGTTTTGCAGATGGTTAACTGCACTTTATAACAATGACTTACATATGATAATACATTGATGTGTTGCCATAGATGTAAGCTATGGTGCCACGAGCAACATGTTTTAGCACCTACATATTTAGTACACTGTAATTTCCTGACAATTTAACATGGAATTCAGCAGTGAGTAGACTTATGGTTGGAAACAGAAGCTGCAGCCTTCTTCATGGAAGAGTATTTATATTATGATTGTTAAATAAAGTAGAAACAAAATCACAACATATCAAAGGGAGTATTCAATGCTCTCCAAGGAAAGAGAAAAACTCATTTAGAAGAGCTTTTAGGAAAGAAAAATGCTCAGAAACCACAATCTCAAGCCAATCTAGAACAATGTCTCAATTTAAAAAGCACAAGCCATGAATTCAAAAGAGAATTCTCCGATCCAAAAAAGCAAATCCAATGAAGATGGACATATCTCCTGGTCCTGTTAACAGACTAATAAAAACAAAGATTTAAAATTAATATACGTTCACAAGCCAAAGGTCCACATAGTTTCTAGCCACACATCAAAATTATGTTTTTTCCATGAGAAAAATGGCCAAAGAAATGAATCACTACTGCCCCATTCAATCACATACCCGCCAAAAGGTGTGACTGAGATTAACCTTGCCATCCTGCATAAAAGCATGATAAATGATGGAGGACGTAGTTCCAAGGGCAGCAAAGGATCTGGAACATCTTTCTTATAAAGTGCAATTAGCCCTCAGTATTTCATAGGTAGTCTAATGAAAGAAAGAAAGAACAAATTCTTAATAAAAAATCTAAGAAAGCAATCTGTGTATGTACATCAAACTAAACATTGTTTTTGTTTTATTACTGATTTGTATTAAATAACATTATTAAGTCAAATATTCTTCAATAAACATTATATATCTGAGATTGTGCCTCAGTTTTTCATACAGCAAAAATTCACAATATTTTACACAATAAGCTATACATGGAAGCATGTGAACTCTGACATCACATTAACACACAGCATCCATGACGCACAGGTTCACCAACTATTTCTGAAGGACTACTGCGATATCGATGCAATGAACTTTCTGGAGATACCACTGGATCATATGAATAAGTGGCAATAAACTGATGGCCATTGTGTTCCACAGATGCGTTTGGCAGATCTTGCTGGGAAAGAGTGAGGCTGTTACGATGTCGAACTTCAGCACGTTGCTTCTTTAAGTCAGCCAGTGTACCAGGGCAAGGACTGTAAGGGGCATTAGTGTTCACTGTCACATGAATTTCTACTTTAACAGACTCTCCTTGTGATCTTGCTGGTAGAGACTGGTTACTTGTTACCTCTTTATTGTCTGAAGATGTGTTATCAGAAGCCTCTGGGTTCTCCACTAAATTATCCTTTTCGGTAGGGGAGCTCAGTTCTTGAGTGTTAGCTTCTTTGTTAGAACTTGCATTATTCTCCCTCAGTTGATTAGTTTTCACTTTCAAAACAGCAGGCGGAATTTTCACACTATGCTCATTCTTCAGATGGTCAGTTTCGTCAAAAACATAAGCCACTTCTTTTGCTGGCCTTCCTTTCAATCTCTGTAAGGTGTCTCTACTCCCAGCTGGTGACATGGATAATTCTACACACTCTTTGTCAAGGGAAGGTTTGAAACTATTATCTTTTTCCACTTCTTGAGCATCTTGCTGCTGTTTGGCCTCATCATCCTGTACAAGCAAAATAATTTAGAATGTTAAAAAACCAGAGTAATCAAAAATATGTCAATATTATATAAAAACATGAGTAGTACTATGTAAGAAAAAGTGTCAAAGATGAAACAAAATATACTGATGTGTTCCACCTACATGAGAACGTCACAACTTACAAAATACATGAATGTCTGAAAATTATACAAGTTACAGATCAATGAACATGTGACTGGGGAACAAAATAGCCAAATAATACATCAACGTCCATACATTACAAATATAAAGGAAATCTTATGCCCATCATTTTATAGCAAGAAAAAAAGCGTTCTAAAACAGTGTATGTTAATATCACACATGATGTATATAAAGTATAAACCCCACTTCTTCTGTCCTCCTTTCTTCTTGTTTTTCCTGCCTTAATCTTGCTTCTTCTCGAGCCTCTCTTCTTGATATCTGGGTCTTCTCACGAATACTGGTTCTCCTTACTGATTGGCTAGAGATTTAAAATATGGTTGTAAAATTCATTACTATCAGCATATACAACTTACATCAGCAATTACAGCATACTATATATTGTAAATTAACTTTTTCATTTATTGACATACACTACTGACAAGAAAGCTTTAAATCTCAGTAGTTATATCTTCCTAAAAATACAAAATAAATGAAAGTATTTGTAGGACTTGTATAAACAATGTCAAGATGGCAAAAAGCTTGTGGATTCTTGTTTTAGCCAGTATCTATTATAGGGCACTGGTATTTTGCCAGAATGACTACTGAAGAATGATTATGAATATTCAGACCAATTATAAATAGTGTTAAAATTATTTAAAGAAAGCTGGATGCAAGCATAAAATTTCGTGAGAAAACCAACACTATGATAATCAATGAGCCTACTGGTAGCTTATTGTGCATTGTTTTCACATGTCTTTCAATGGGATTTCCCAACTTTAAAATCGCAAGTAAAAAAGTGTTCTAGTAGTTTATCAACTGTTTTTTTTTCTTCCATTAATGTAAGATAATGTAATTTTATATTAAAAGAAAAAATCAAAAACTTCATTTAATGTAAATCTGTATCGGCTGACTAATTATATTTGTTAATGACACACACAGTTTTACCAGTCTGTGATTGTCACTTTTAAATAAACTAGCAAGACTGTGCATGGTCATCCATTTTTACCAGTTCACTTTTTTGTGCCTTCAGCTTTTATTGGTTGGTCTTTTTAATGCAAATGTTAAAGAAAATAAGGACTACTGTGTTTTGTTTTCCCAAAAGTAGAACGAGTTGGGGGAACATTTAAAAATATTAGTAGATAATTAATGAGTTGAAATTAACAACAAATATTTAAAAAAGAAGCAAACTCTCAAAACTTTTGTTTGTTAAAGTAAGTATCTGATGATTAAGATCACTTGGCAATTTCTTCATGTTCTTTCTTACATGTACTCTTCTTCTAGTATTTGAATACAAGAAATAGCTTAAATAACCAAGTAATCCAACTTACTTGGTGGCAAACACATAATGACTGATTAGGCTATTCTAATCCCATAATACACAACTTTGATTTCTACTGTACATCCTATGTGACTAGTAAATAAAAACTCGGTACCTTCTTGTATTCTGACTGTGGGAACGCCTTAATTTATGAGGTTGGGCTGCCCGTTTAATTTCCATCTCACTTTTTAATTGAATTATCCTTTCTCGCAGTTCAGGATCTTCACAGATATCTAGGGAAAATTATGGTTCACTTGTTACTTCTGATAACAAAGATAAATGGCTAAATACTTACAATTTACTGTTTCTTATTCACCCTTGTCACTAGAGAAAAAAAGAAATCAGCCATTTTCCATGTAGATGGCAGATGTAAGTAAATTGATTAACTTCCTAAATTTAAGGATTTAATCTTTTTTATCTCTAACTATAAGATAGCTACTTTTAATTAGAAATAATTTCTTACTAAGCTGTTTCTACTAGGTACTTCATGATAAAACTTGAAAAACGAAAAGTAATACAAACAGGTAGATAATTATATAGTGTTATACAAAGGTTTTGAACTGTTAAACTATCTCTATCACCTTAATTAAAAATAAAAATAAATTTGTAACGTATGGGAACTTCAACCTAATAAGTAAACTTTCAAAATTCATTTTTATTATTATAAACTAAAAGATACTCACTTTGTAACAGTATTCAATTTAGTTTTAGTTCTACCTCTGAACAAAGAATAAAAGTATAAAAAATCAGTACCAATAAGTAGATTTTTGTATTTTAATGAAGTTTTAAAATATAAAAAAGTGACAAACTTTAACTTTAAAAAAAATCAAGCACACCTATAATAGAAATACAAACTTGTCTCATAAAATTCAACAACATACCATAGGGAGTTTCACCATTCTTGGTTCGTGCATTAAGATCAGCTCCAGCTTGTACAAGCATTTCAATAACATCAGGCTGAAAAAATATGGATTTATTAAACTCTACAAGAAGAAATTAAAAATTTATGAAAAACATGTATATCAGAAAGTAAGTAAAGATTTTTAGAGCATTCTTTGTTCCACAGTTGTTGAAATACTAATTATAATGTAAATAACTCTTAACCCTTGTGTTTTCAGACTCTGATTTCAAGAAATTAATATTTAAGGTATCCTTGTAAGGAAGGTGCTTAATGATTCTGCAGTATCTACAAATGGAATGTTTGCCATTTTGTGCACTACATTATGTTCAATCACATTTTAATTCATACAGCATTCTTTATTAGTTCCAAATGTCGAATTTGGTAATAGAAAAACTCACATGGCCCCAGCAGGCAGCTGCATGAACAGGATGCCACTGATCATTATCTACAGCATCTGTAGAAACATGGTGGTCCAGAAGAAACTCCACAACAGCCAAGTAACCATTGGCTGCTGCAATGTGAAGCTAGGAAAAAAGTTGAAAATAGTTATCCTATTAAACTTATTCAGTTAAAGGAAGAGTCAGTACCACTACTATTTCTTGCTTACCGAAATAAAAACAAAGCAATTCCCCCACCTTACAAAGAAGAAGAAGAATCTCAGTAATGGTATATAACATCCAGCAGTTAGTGATTTATTTAAAGGTTAATTTCAATGTCTCAAAATAAGATGTTTGTTTACCTTGTTCTAATTAATAATAAAATTTCTCATGAGAAATTCTCAATTACAAGATTTTTTCCACTGAACTCACTTTAATATAAAAAGAATACTAACTAATGATTCTTTACTATCAATTTTTTTTAAATAACAAATGTACGGGGAAGAAGTACCATGAAGTTATTGCAATATTAGTATGTAAAACAAACTAATAATATCACATACTATCCAAAATTACAGAGTTGAAATTAAACTGGTGATTTAAAGTAGTACCAGTACTCTGAACAGGCAATATTTCATCATGTCTACTAAATACGTTTTATTACAAAGTATCACTTATTACTAATTCTTAACAACTGCAAAATTAAAAAATTTTTAACGGGGGTTGAACTTTGTTATTGCTGACACTTGAAACTGTAACACACTTTTAATTTTATACAAAAATTATACTTTAAAATATTGTTAACAAATCATTATACCTAAATTTTATAGACTTAAATCAGTAGTTCATTTAACAAAAATAAGACAATACATGAGACTAGAATTAAGTCTTGTCAAACTCTCTCTCTATGCATACAACTTAGAAACCATGTTTATGTTATGAACTATCCTGCCATTCTTGTGTAATAAATACTCATTATTAAAATATAATAATTACAGGAGTTGCTCCTTGATGATCCCTATATTCTAAATCTTCACCATTTTCTGCAAGCAATTTCAAGTCATTTAACATCAGTCTTTCTGTGGCTGCTCGAGTTTCATCAATCATTTCTTGAGTTACACCTAAAATATAGATGGCGTTAAAGAGCAGGTGCATAATTTTACTCATTTACACACATCAGAATACAGAGCAAAGCAAATTTGTTTTCATTATGTATATATAAAATGAGGCACAAAAAAGTTTTGTTTTTTTGAAAGTCAGGAAACGTGAATCCAGCAGTTAAGAGACTTATTAGCCTAGAGTTTGTAATAACATATAATCATATTTTTATCAATTCCAGTTGTAATCTTTTTAGAAATATTATACCTGGAAATTAACATATCTCTCTTGCTTTAAGTATCCTTTAATACCTTAACTTATATTTTGGCAATGTTAATTTTCTTAATTACTTTTTTTGTTCAAAGTTTGGTTGAGCTAAGCATAATTTTTGAGTATCAAACAAAAGGCAACGTCCAAGTTATCAACACACAAGATGCTGCAAAGAAAATTTAGCATATTTTCTATACTCAATGTTACAATATTAAAAAAAAAGAATTACATTTGTGAACAAATTCATTATGACTATATGATGTCACTTTTAAGGCTTGGATGCTGCCAGCTTTTTGACACTACCAAGTGATATTTCCTTCAAATTTTTGCTGTGCAATCTCCAAAAAATGTCATACTTAGCTAACTTCTCTTCTGAAACAATACTTTTCAAATGGGGCCACAAATTTTGAAATGGATTAGCATTTGTACATAATTTTTGTATCATCAATCATTCCTTACTTCTCTAAATACTTTTCACTCAGAAGAGTAGTATGTTTGGATCATTATCCTACAGGAATTAACACATGAACTAAGATGTTATACCATTTTTCATAATATCAAAAGTTTTGACAACATCTTCAATTTCACCAACAGAAAACATCCCCACATCATTATAGCTCCAACACCACATTTCACATTCTGCCCATTAAAACAATTCTAGAGTTAAAAAAACAATCTTTGTTTGCTAGACCACTGTACATTGTCTTAGTCATTCTTCCAAATTTTATGACCCCTTAAGTAAAGTTTAAAAAGTTTGAACATGTTCTCACAAATAATTAGTAGTTATTACATGTTTTATGTTCATTATACTTTCAGAAGAAGCTAACCAATACTAGAATATAGAATTCTGAATTAAAAATTTTTAACAGCCATATTCCTTTGATTCATGTCATTTTTGGTAGTTCCAATAATTTTGAACAATCTGTTTTTTGTCAGAACATAATACTTTGTTACATTTGTTCTTCCAACTGTTGTGGCTTTTTACAAATTTTAAATGACTGATCATGTTCACACATTAAATATGAGGCTTCTTTAGTATGACTCTACTGCTCATTTTAACTCCATGCATTCTTTGGTAATGTTCTGAATCAATTTCATGTTTAATTTCTTTATATCATGCTATTCTCCTGTCCAGATGTTTCTTGCAAATGTTTCATCCTTTTATTTTAAACTCTTAGTTGTAGCAAACTAAGTTTTTACCTTCACACTATTCATTACTTAAAGAAGTAATCCCCAATTAATTTTCACACTGAACCACTTCAGATGATGACCATAAAGCCAGAGGCTAATCTAATGTACCCACTTCTCCTGTTAGTTTTCCAGTAACATAACTTGAGTAAGAATAACCAATAATGTGGAATAAGATTTACAATATTTTGTTTAATACATCATTCTCAATATATAGTTCTTCTTAGTTTTGCAATATCTGATCCTACTGCAGGCCTCGAATCAGGCTTTTTGAGAGGACTAAGAACCACTAATTTAAAGAAATAATTTGTCCTCATTTTTCACTAATTAGCTCTTCTTCTTTTTTTTTTTTTATAGTTTTGCCAATGTTGAAACATGCAAAGTCTTCCAATGATGTTGATATTTAGGATTATGTGATATGAAATCACATGTGCAGGTAAACACTACATCTTAGTTTAACGAATTCAAAACTAACATTATTTTTATTATTATGAATAAAAACCCTATAACTCGAGCGCTTTCGAAAGGTGGACATTTCTTCTGAAGAAGAAAGGTTACTTTTCGAAAGTGCTAGGGTTATAAGGTTTTTATTCATTTCTATCAAGACTTCTTAAACCTAACATCATGAATTTTTATTATTATAATATTCTACTAAAAAATTCATCATGTCCCCGAGTCTAACATTTTTTTTCATAACATATATGACTGCATTACAAAGTCTGAATCTCTAGACTGCTTTAACATTAATAACTGTTTCTTATAACTTGATACATGATGCCTGCTGGTCAGGCAGTCTTTTAAAAGACTTTTGAAGTATAAGTGTATGTTGTTGCCATTTCATAAAAATATTAAACTGTTGTTAATGGTGGAATTGCAATAAGTATATATGGGTAACATCTTTTTAAATGTTATTGTTTTAAAGTTGTTTAGAAATAAAACAACTAAAATCACAAATTATTTTTTGGTAGTAATGTATAAATAACTTAAAGATACCAAACTGAAATAAAAACTACAATTAACTGTTAATAGTTTGAAACTGGTATGAATAATTAATGTATCACTCTCAAAATGTGTAATAAGCCACTCACTCAATGCATATTACATGATGTCCATTGGTTAACCTGCAATTAGGTCATGATACTCTTCATGAAATGCATAACTACTAAACAATATGTGGATAGAACATAAGCACAGTATTAATCTTCGATTATCATTCTTGCACACTTCAATAGTAAAATTAGCCTTCTTTCTTGTTAGACTCGGGCTTGTGATTGATTACTTGTGTGTTACAATTAACTGGAGCTCAAACATCATTAAAACTCTGGTGAATGGATATTTGCATAGAATGTCTAACAATGACTAAGTTGTGCATGTCTAAAAATCTGTGCTTCCAATTTTCTACCTAAGTACTTAAGACTTTCATCTTACCTCGTTTGGCCATTTCAGACTCAATATAATCTAAAGTACTATCATCTTCGCAAATGTCATATGGCATATTTCCATCAGCATTTACGGCCAATAAGTCGGCATTCCTAAAGAACAAACAAGATGAAAATTAAGAAGAATATAAAATTTCCAATGTTTATGGAACATGCAGAATATAATAAGACACACTGTTTAGATGTGTTTTAACAACCTACATCAATAATTCCTCTATGTTCAGTTCTCCTTATTTGCATCTAACTAAACAGTACAAACCTTTTGAATCCCTGCAAATTATAGTCTCAAATATTTACTGTTTACTCACTGGCACAACTGAGTATTAGTTACTAAACAATGAACAAAGGGATGAATTTTACTCAAACTAGAGATGAGTAAACATTTAATATACTTTAAAATGAACTAATTTCAAATTTCTCAGTTACCACATAAATATGTTAAGATAGACAAAAATAATCCATTACTTGTCAACTATCTAATGTACCTACTTCTCCTGCTAGTTCTCTGTAACATAACTTCACCAAAAAGAACCCACAAAAGGGAAAAGTTCTAAAATATTTTGTTTAGTCACATTAACTAATGACCTTACCTTCCTTTTCAAGGTGATCAAAGATTACATGTTTTTAAGTTCCTGTAGTTATAAACATTACTTTCAGGTGTAGTTGTGATGACATCTTAGGAAGCTTCTGAAAAATTGCTCCTTTGAGATACCACGACTCATGTGGAAGTAAGAAATTACAAGAGTTTTGCTGAATGCCTGCTAAAAAAACACACACGACTCATGTGGAAGTAAGAAATTACAAGAGTTTTGCTGAATGCCTGCTAAAAAACACACACAACTCATGTGGAAGTAAGAAATTACAAGAGTTTTGCTGAATGCCTGCTAAAAAAACACACACAACTCATGTGGAAGTAAGAAATTACAAGAGTTTTGCTGAATGCCTGCTAAAAAAACACACACACGACTCATGTGGGTGTGAAATTGCAAGAATTTGGTTAATACTTGCTAAGTATCATATAACCTGATGTGTAGGTGTGAAAAAGCTTAGTTAACAACATGATACAGACCAAGTGTAGGTACAAAACCACAAGAGTTTGGCTACTATTTGTTAGACACCACATAACTCATGTAGGTGTGAAATATCACACAGTTCACATTAGAGATGATATCATAGAATGTTGGTTAATTTCTGCTTCCTTTAGTGACTTCTTACAGGTTTAAGAAGTTTAACTTACTTGGCAATTAGGTATTTCACTAAATGAAGATGACCACATGTGGCTGCTGCATGAAGGGGAGTCCACTGCTCACTATCCTTGGCATTGACATTGGCACCAAATTCTATTAATAACTTCATCATTTCTTCACTGTCATCAATACAACACTGAAAAATATGATCATATTTAACTGCTAATTATATAAATAACATAAAAAAGTAAAGAACTGGATTACCAATTCATTTAATCCTTAAACAATGAAGAACAATATGAGCTATTTCTATGGATTTTTCTTACTTTCTTTCGTGCCGAGACAATTTTGAGTTTCATGCTACATCCAGTCCAAAACAGTTTCAAAACCAAACAAAAAGGTAACAAGACATTTCTAATAAAAATAAAAATCCAGATGTTAAACACACTGGCTAAACCTACAATAGTTCATCATTCACCTATCTTTGCTTGAAAACTTTGGTACTCAGAAACTTGAAGATTTTGTTCATTAATTTAATAATTTTCTGGTAAAACAAACACAATCACTGTAATACATTTACAATAATATTTAACATCACCTCATATTTGTATCATATTTAAAGAAATATCAGTAGATCCACTGGTAATTACAATCACTATTCAAGCATCTTATTTCAATCACCAGTACTTGTAATGCACCAAAGGTAGCAGTACTAATATTTCAAACAAGGAGAAAAAAAAATTGGTATGAAATCATATATTTAGGTTAACCATTTCATCTTAGTGTAATGAGTTCAAAACTAATATTTTTTACTACTTTTAATTATGTGTCCACAACATTCTTTTTGTATAACTTCTTATGTAACTGCATAATCAAAATCTGAATTTCTACACTTCAGTAACACTAATGGTTGTTTCTTAAAACTTGGTGACACCTGCTGGCCAGACAGTCTATGAAATGACTTTTGATGTCTAGAAATGTATTTGTTGTTGCTATTTCACAAAAATGTAATGATGTGATTGTATTAATTATATGTAACATTTTTTTTTAAATGTTATTGTTTTAAAGCTATTTACAAAAATCTAAAAACATCAAGTTACAGGATGTGCGTGTGTGAGATGATGAACTATTACAATAACATTTACACTTTCAATAAAGCTAAAATATGGTACAGTTATAAAATGGATCACAATTAATTTTCATACAAATTTCTTCAAGTGTTACTTGTATCAACTTCAAAGACAAAATTATCAGTACCTGTGAGACCACCATAAGAAAGTATACTTTAAAAATTGTTAGTAAAATGCTTAATTATCTTATATTAATGTTACATATGATGAAAAACTTTTTTTAAAACTGATTTTAAATTAATAGTTATGCAGTATATATCAAGATGATGTGTTTAAACAGAAGCTACACTACCAATAAAGGATGACTTACCTGATGTAAAGCAGTAAGACCATCTTCATTTGTGGAGTCTGGACAAACTCCTAACAAGAGCAGCCTCCGAACTGTAGGCACAATCAACAAGGAAAAAATACATTTTACACTCACAATATAGAATAAATTAAGTCTTTCTTTTAATAAGAACTTGTGTTACAAAAAAAATACCTTTTATCTTGTGTTTGAAGACTTGAAATAAAAGTCATCATGATATTCATCTTCTATCAGTTTTTATTGATCTTACATTTGTATAGCTTGAAAATGTTTATTGTTTATAACAAAAGTGATTATTAAATAACAAAATATAACAGTAATACCATTATATTGAGCAACTGGCTGATATAATTTTTTATCACTGGTGGTAGGTTTCAATTTTCTTTGTAACCTTTGAGTTTTGTTATTATCCAATATATATTAATAATAATGTCAAAAAATTTTGCTGATTTGAAATCACCATGTTATTCTGTCTTTCATTACACTTGTACATCCTCAAATCCCCACCCTAAGAAAGAAAAACTAATTTATTTTTGCCCACACCATTGTGGAAGGGACTATAATGAGTTGGAGATTTTTCAGGGTACCAGACAAGTCCCTAAATGAAAGCTTCATTGTACCCTTATGTAAACCAAATCAGTATCGTACAATATTAAAATATACAGAGATGTTATGCTTTAACAAGCATTTGCATAAATAGCAAAATTGAGTAATGCTGCTTCTTCAGTTCCCCAATCTCTTATAGTAAGAACTGTAGTTTGTTATTAGAAGCCAGGAAAATGTTCATCGAAGCTCCAAGACTTTAATGTATTATACACATACAATAATCCTGATTAATCATCTGCACAATTTATCATGAGCAAATTTAATGAGGAAGTTACACCAGCTTATTTATTAAGTACTTATTTCAGTTATAAATTGTGCTATAAAATTAACATACTTATATAAAATTTATTTTGACAAAACTAAGAGAAATAAACTCATTTTTTGAAGTCTAAATACCATTTTGAAGAACACGATACACATGCACACAACATACATCTACATATGCCACATGAAACCAGGCTTCAAATTACACAGACATCAAATCTATTACCAACTTGGAAACCAACAACGTAGAAACTAATTAAGGGAGAATTAAAGGAAATAAACCTAGTTTGTTAATAGCAAGCATTTATCTAAAGAGTTAATCACATGATGGCAGACAAACCTCAAATTAAAGTACCCAATTTTAAAACTATACGTCTTGTTTATAATGTGATGAGTTTGTTAAATGTAGAAAAAACAAATCTGTTGAAAACACCCATAGTATCTACAAAGTAAACGAAAAAACAAGATTCATATTTCTTATCAATATTGCACTTTTGTTAAAACAACACAAGACTTAATATGCTTTTTCAACAGCACGTCTTTGTTAGACCAACACAATCTATTATATGTCTTATCAACATCACATCTTTATGTTAAAATAAAGTAAAAGGATCCATATCGAAGCATCAATATATAATCTGTGTTATAACAACACTTATTCTAAACTATCAATAGTAGCTTTATTCTAAAACAAGAATACTGAATATAAGCTAAAAAATAATCTAGACTAAAACAACAATAAAAGATCTACAATTAAAATTTACTTCAACTACAAAGCAACTTTTAATTTGTAGGAACAAGTACATATGAAGTATACATTTTCAAAAAGCATGTTAAATATGACCTAATTTTCAGCAAATACCTAACACACTAAACATCTCTACTTGCAAAACCACATGTGAAAATTAACACCTTATTCTCAATTTCAACAAGTGGATGAGAAGTGATTTTTGTGACCCTAACATTATTAATTAATATTAACCACCCAGTTAAATATTTGCTCTCAATGAATAGCTAACAAGTTTACCTACATGAACAAGGTACAATCTAACTTTACCAAACTTAATTGCTACTTCATTATCTTTTCAATTCCTTGGTTACCAATGTTTTAAACATTGGTAATATATAACATTATACCGATAGGCACTATTACCACACCCACACCATATTTAACATACCTTAAAATATAAAAAACAAAAACCTGTTCATCCACACAAACATATACCAATGATTAGTTATACACACAATTACAATAGTAGCTATTCAACCCAACCTTACCCAAAAACAAAAGTAGCTAGCCAAAGGATGATACTAACATTACTGTCAACAGATCACATAGCAGCTGAGGGCATTGTAACATATTAGTAGTTATTTGATAAAAGTAATCTTGTGGAAAACAGCACTTTCTCTATAAAATCAGTATAGATCCCAATCTATCATTCAATTTACCACTTGTTACCAAGTCATACCAGTTTCATGAAATTCTTGAAACCCTTTATAAACATAGGATCAATGTAGTGGGTAAAAAGACATTTTGAAACAACACACACATAATCCCATTCTCTAGTATTATAAAAACCAATGAAATACAAGTAAAATGTTTAGTGATTCGGCATAGGTTCAGTTTATCTTTTCTTCTCTGCAAATTTATTTGAAATACTTTTTATTTTACAAGCAGACACAAGATAGTTAATAGTTAATGAACTATGATTTTTATTTATCAATACCCTCTTACACTGATCTCTCAGTAAACTCAACGTTTCCACCATACAAAACACAATTTCAGAGTTTCAAAAAAAGTATGTTAGAAGCTTTTGATGATTATTGATTAGTAATAAAAAATCTATTAGATTTTATGGAAAAGATTTAATGCCATCCTCGAGAAATAACCTACTTTCAGAGCGGTTTTTTACAAACTCCTTTGAAAACAAACAGATTCTAAGTGTTAACTTTGATCTTTAGGATTACTACAACCAGCTAATAGTTTTGAAGTGTTTTCTTTTAATAACTGTGGAAATCAAAAATTAAGTATAAAAGGCTTTGTGTCATATCAAATTTGAAAAACTGACCTACATTTCGTTGTAACAATTTCGTTATGCGTTTGCAAGGAAAAATTACTAGATTTATAACATTCTACAATATATCTTTGGAAAGATAATGAAATTTCTTCGATGGATATCACATTTTATTCTCGCAAAACAAACAAAAAAAAAGCGCACACAATAATATTACTTGCATATATAAGACGTCTTTCAAAACACAGAGGTCGCTGACTCATTGACTAAAAACTACTCTCAAACGATCGCCGTGAAAATTTTCAGCTCAGCAACTATGTTGTAGGCAACAATTATAACACGTTATAGGCGCACGTTAGTCACGTTAAGGTATTAGCAGTAAATTATTTGACCCAATTATTCATTTCACAAGTTCATAAAGAACATTTAATGTGTGACATCAAACCGTCAAATCTGTTGCACACTTCATATTTCACTACTCGTGGGAGCCAAGCCCTCAGTTTCTTTAAAACTATTTGTAAACATTGTGGTACTAACGTAATTTTACATAAAGTTAAAGATTAATCCAAATAGATCTTGTTGGAAACAGCTATTTATTTGTATTAGATTGGAAATAAATAAACAACTAATATTCACTGAAACAACTTGTATTCATAGCAATAACTGTGTTTCTACCTTCCATAACTGTCACTTTCCGAGTTCAAGTGTCTTTTCGTTTGGTCTATGCATACACCAAGAACAATTTAATAAATTTTGTGACGATATGTTGACTGTTTTTTGTTGTTTTTTTCGCTTTATTAGAATTAAGTGCAGGCCTACTAAAAAGGCTGGACTCTATATCAGCATACGTGCATGTTACTACTAGTACTCGAAGATGCTAGATTTCCCAGACTTTGCTAAATATAAAGCTGGTAGATAAGGCTGAGAGAGAGAGATCACACTGTTGACTCAACATGTTAAACAACGTTGATAAAAGTTGATCTTTTAAGTGGATTTTTTTATCACTATGGGCCGTTCAGATTAAACATAAATGCACTTTTATTAGAATTACGTCACAAACTACTATTCTATCTTTATTTTTGCACTAGCGAAAGTACGTACCCGGCTTCGCTCCGGTTATTAGGTTGATAGTGTGTATATTCTGAACCCATTTTAGCATAAAAGTATAACCTATATACTTTTGTTGCTAAGCAACATGACATAAAAGCCATTGTTGGAACGCATTGCAACAAAAACGCACTGGCTTTTCTACATATTGGAAGTTGTTATAAGGAACCACTTCTTTTCCATGTGGTTTTTCGCTTGCTTACCTAACAAAAAGATGTGCTCGCGCACGCACATGGATAAGTAATAATACACGGGTGCACACCCTCAGGGTCCACTTAGTATGTGTGCAAAATATTAGGTTTCTAGGTTCTTTGCTCTAGGAACTATGGCGGTCACACACAGATACGCTCTTTTATTTTTATAGATACACATTACGCTTTTAAGTAAGAACTAAGAGACTGCAAACTTTGAAATTAATAAAATAAATACATCTGCTTTGAATTAACTAAGGCTCGTGTTTCATTAAACTTATGAAGAAACATACAAATTACTTAAGTCGGTTTAGATCAGAAGATACGTGTGCGATTTCTTCATGCCTTGTCATACAGGTAGAACTGTGAATACATCTTTTTCACGATTTTCATTAAAACTTTCCAATAATATCATTTAATGAAGTAAAATATGTAAATGAGCAAGAAACTCACATGGTAGTGGTATAACGGCAAATGCTATCTAATTTTAGCTAAAAAAGTTTGGAGGAACTCGTGCTTCATGTAGGAAATGCACAAAGTTCATAAAATGTAAAGGCAGTGCTATGTAGTTAAAACAGTTAAGTGACCTGCTTAGACTACTTACGTGAGAGGTTGGATACATAATGTTCTGAACAAATATGATGGCCGTGCGGATAGTCTCAATGACTGCGAGGTTAAATCTAAGTTGATTAAAATTATTTCACAACACGTGATACCCACCAAACACCTCTAGTGCAAAAGATACTTTCAGCCGAATTGTACGATCAAAAGAGTACAAACCGATCGACCTAACTAGTAAGAGAAATCAGAACTAGCGACGCTTTCAAAACCCTGGGATCGAGGGCAAGAATTAAAACTCAACAGGGTAGCGATACCGGTATTTTAAGTGTC